CTCAGAAAGCCATCAACATCCATCTTCACTCAGTTGAAAAAAACAACTTCATGTTTTTTGAAACATCTTGCTGTGGCCCCCACTAAGAAAAAACAAGTAGAGTCTGTCTTCGGAGTTATAGAGCCATTCCCAAGGCTCCCGGCAGTCTCCTTTGCCACAGCTTTATAATCTATTTCCACGCCGAAAACACGAAAATCGTCCTCGAAGCGGAGCGGTCAGTGCCAAACGTTGCTTTCTGACGCCAGTAAAAATCTCTCTCTACAGCCATTCTCTAGAGGCATAGAAGCCATTCTGTAGAGCCATAGAGGGCCTCTAGAGCCACAGAGCCATTCCCAAGGATCCCAACTCCCGCAAATCTCCTTCGCCACAGCTTTACACAATCTAATTCCACACCAAAATTTGTGAAAACATTGTCCTCGAAGCTGGTTCCAAACGTTGCTTTCTGACGGCTGTAAAAATGTTTCTCTAAAGCCACTCTCTACACACCATTCTCTAGAACCATAGAGTCTGTCTTTAGAGCCGCAGAGCCATTCCCGAATCTCTTTCGCCACAGCTTTAAGCTGATCGGTCAGTTGCCAATTAACGTTGTTTTCTGATGCCAGTAAAATCCTTCTCGAAACCTTTTTTGTTGAAACCATCGAGTCTGTCTCTAAAGAGTCATTCCCGGGCCTTGTTTCTGGCTACCATCGCGCTTCCCCGCCATCGACTGGTCAGCGGATATTATGTAAATACATTTTTGTATATACAGTAGGATCCAGGGTGCATGTCGACTAACCCTTGGAAACTTGTTTGGGGCAGCAGATAGACGTTTGCGCTGTTTGGAAGGGTGTTTTGGAAGGGGGTTTAAGAGAAGACAACATTTGGCATGAAACACGTTACATGTTCATCGTTGGGTCCATACAAAGGTTGCTTCCGGTCCAATGGATGCGTGATATGTTTCGGTCGTGCGCCAGTCGTTTCGGTCGATGGGAAAGAGCGGAGTTCGACCAACATCGGTCGTTAAATTCATGCAGTGGATCACTTGGTCCATTAAATTTCATTTTCGCCTACAAGGTGTTTCTCAGTGGCACCTTTTGCCAGCCAAAAGTCCATCAATTCATCCAGTTCCAGTTCCAATCAACTCTTCTCAGGCTGGACTACCTGCACACATGTCGCGGCAGCATGGGCGAGTCGCTCTACGCCGGGGGTTCCCAGGTCTGAACATTGGGAACATGACCAGCACCAGGAGACCTCAGTAAAAAATGGGTGGCACCAGGTTTCTTCGACTGGTTGATCTACCTAGAAGGTGCTACATGTGGGACCAGGGGCTTCAAGTTGAACGACCCATCCCCATGTTCATCTGACCTCATGTCAAGTTGTTGATCTGAACGTGAGGGTCCCTCAGCTCCTCGGTCTCCTACTGCTCCCTTGCCATGTGCGGTGACGATGCAGAACCCCAGTTCACCTGTGTCATGGCAGGATTGATTTGTTCTCACAGAGGCTCTTTGGGATCATCCCCGGTTTGCGGAGAGTTTTTTGTAGACCTCAAAAAGGTTGAAACATCTGAAACCTATATCCTTTGGTAGCTTGGGACGTGTCCCGAACTCTTGGAAGATTCACCGGCCTTCTTGGGGCTGGGCGGGGTCCACATGGGTGTATTCTCCGAGCCCACCTGCCTTGCGGACTTCTTGGCCCCCTAGCAAAGCTGCTCTACTGTACTCGCTATCTATAGGTGTATCGTGTTTGGTACATGCTGGGATTGAACGGCTTTAAGTGTCTTGTTTATTGCCAGACAGAGTGTTTCTTGTGACTGTCCCGGCCCAGGCACAACAACGGCACCGCAACGGATCCCCAGATGGGATCAAGACGGAGGATGCAGAAGATGTGGACGAACTGGGCATAAAACCGGGCGGTTGCAACAAGATCAACAAAGAAAATCGACACTTTGACCAACGAGCGACACACGAAAATGGGGCATTGGTTGTTCGAAAATGGGGCTGAAGATCGTTGAAGGATGTTTGGAAATCCGAACACGAGAGATTCAGACATGACATGCAGAAGTCCAGTAGTGAAAAAACATACCCTTCTATTCGCCGTCCGATGCCGCATTGGCCAACAACATGGCCGCACGGGTGCAACAAACCCACCTTCACAACCCGACGCATGTGATACTGTAGCCTATCCAAGGCCCGGCGTGTCATCTGAAGAACATTTGGAATCAATTGACACGTGTTTTCACTTATTCGCCTTGCAGACTGAACCCGCGCGGGCTAAACGGGAAGGCGCACCAACGATGTGGATGCAAAAGAAAGATCGGTTCTGTTCATGTAGACTGTTGAACATAAAAAGAAGTCTATGAAGAGAACGGTTCATATGCCTGTTCATATGCCTGTTCATGTAGACTGTTCATGTAGACTGTTGTTCTGTTCATATGCCTGGAGATACAAAACCGGAGAACGTGGTGTTGAACGATCATCAGCGGTCCGAAACTGCGGCAGAAATACGAAGCGAACGAAGCGAAGAGCAGGGACCAAATTCCCTCCCAAGACAGGCCCTCCCAACTCGGTAATTCTGTGGCTCCTGGAGTGACTCAAAAACAAGTTCCTCGAGTTCCTGGTGTTCTTTGCTGTTTTCGGCAGAAAATCAAGCCAAGCAGTCACTGCTTACATGCTTGTGCCACTCCTGGCCATTGTGATCCCTGTTTAGCAAACATCATCCATTTCTGTGAGCCCAAATAGTGGTCGCAGTCCAGGCAAATAGGGCTTTTCGCTGAATATGTTGCCCTCTTAATTTGTGCAGTGGTCGATTACAAGTTCAGACCCGAACGCCGAACAGAAGCAGCGCTAGTAGCGGATGCAGCTGTTCCTTGAAGAAGTTGAAGAGAGCGGAGCTGCATTCGGTTTAGCTGACCGAGCTAGAACTCCTAATTTTGTGCATACTGTGTACATGTGTGACATCAGATTAAACATGATTAAGCTATTGCACTACTGTTGTCGTACACCATAGTGGAGAAAGCATTCGCAAGCCATGGCTGCAGAGTCTATACCCATGTCTCGCGTTTCTTTTTGTCGCGACGTTGCTGTTCGTCACCTTCAGCCCAGGCCTGGAGATGCAAGCGCATTTGCGGGCCGCTGAGAAGTACAGTTTGGAGGAAGACGTTGAACACGTCGGACGAAAAAGATCACCTCATTGTTGGTCTGATGTTTTTGCTTGGAAACAAGGTCTTGTTGCGCAAAAGTTGGCTCCAGCTTTTGCAACTTGTGATAGGGGAAGAACATGAGCATCATTGTTTTTTCTTGTAGTGATGCTAGGTGAACAGGAAAGCCATATTCGACAAGAGTGTGATATCTCCAGCGTTCCCTACAAAGAAACTCCCCACCTAAGAAACAAGAGGATTCGTTTTGCCAATGAGTTTGTCGGAAGACAAGTGCAGCAACCAGCAACCTATCTATTGACATCGGCACCCTTTTTTGCTTCGCTAAACCCCCAGCAGCAGCGACGGAAGGAGAAACCTCCAGAAGTACGGTGTGCCTACAGCGCGCAAGTGCGTCCGGAGCACCGGCACCGGAGCGACGGAGTTGGAGCGATGTGTGACACGTGTGGCAATTTTTTGTGTGACACGGACGTGTGATCCCCATGAAGACTGGAGTCACACGTGTTTGTTTTGATACTCCAGTCTTCATGATGTTGTGGAAGACACTCTGGAAGACTGGAGAATACGTAGGAGTACGTAGTAATTACGTGATGGAATTGAGAACCGGTCGATGTTGGTGTCGATGACGGATGGTTTCGATGGAGACTGGGTTCTTTGGAAAGCACCAAGGCCAAGGTGAAGCAAAAACTTCTAACGGAGCATAAGAGGTTCCAATCTTCTCCCCCAAATCGACTAATTACATGGCTGGGCCCGGGAAAAACGCCCTCCCCTCGGCACTCGAAGGGTGAACGAAGGGCCGGGCCTTTTTTCGGATTCAACATGATTCAACGTGTCAATCCACATCTCCGGATTGATTCATGTTGAATCAAAAAGGTGGTTCCAAATGATTTCATGCGTATTGAATCCATACGGTGGTCCCCCAAATAGATGGAAACATATGGAAACCATTTGAAAATACAGTACATGTTTACGAAGTTCTATCATCTTCTATCTATATTTGGGGGGTCTACCAGGAGTCACTTGTCGGCGTGGTGTTTAGTGCCATCCAGTGGCCATGGAGATGACAGGGGCACCCCGACTATACCTCCATGGATAGCACCCGGTCGAACGTGACTGCTGGTATATTCCTAATTGATTTATCTTCCCATTGCGGACCAGCAATAGGATATACCGCAAAAGGATGTTGAAGTGCTCTTCCCATATTGAACCCCCAAAAGCTGCAAGGTCCCCTTGCGGACCACGGTCCACTTGCTCCATCCTTAACGCGGGGCGACGCGCCGCGTGGGTCGGAGAAGAGACCCCCCCCTGGCCTTAATGGGTTTGGGTTGATGTTTCTTCTTGCACAAATTCCAACCTGGGAGGTTTTTCTATTGAACTGCTGGTCCCTGGAGCTTCATGGAGACCAGGTGTGAGTGAGTGAAAAATGGAGATGTATGGTGCTGGTACTTGAAGGTTGGTTGACATAGTTGGGATTTCCGTGCCGTTGTGGGAAAACACATACGTTTAATACTTCATTCAATATTGCCTTAGTGTTTCTATGTTTCCAGCACTCGATGTGCCATCAGTGTGGTGGGCCAAACGTGTGTTGTTTTAGACAAGTATCAAATGGCAGAAACTCATAGACCCCCCCCTTGGAACTCGAAGAGGAGTGAACCGTCCAACGACGCTCCTCATTTGCCACGGGACATGTTGGTCCCTAACGTCCCTTAATGAGCATTATCAGACACGGAACAACGGAAGAGGTTGGACTTTGTTCCTGTCATTTGGTTCCTCTTTTGCATCGACCATCCGTCCACCAAAAACCACCAAGTCAGTCAAGAGTCCAGCAACAATTCAACACATGCTGCCGGCCCTGATTTTTTGCCGCAGCATTTGCAAGCAGAATGGTTTTGCGGGGCGGCTGAGCGCGCTCCTTGGCGCAGAAAGCGGAGGAAGGGCGAGAAAACGGGGTTCTTTTGGCTTGAAAGTGACGCGGGTGGTGCATCAGTATACTCTTACAACGGACTTCCAAGACCCTTGGTATGTAGAGGAGGGTCACTTCGGCGGAATGTTAAATGGAGTTTGGAAGGGACGTTCCACAGCCGCAACCCCGTAATTCATCGGCTTTCGTCTACTAGTGTCTATTATATCGCTGGTAATACTCTGGTACTCTGAAAGAGTTTGGATCAGTTTGGGCTCAATGATCAATGCGGGTCAATACAGGTGGAGATCTTTGCAGCAGAAATGCGCAACAGGAGATTCACGTGGCTATTGAACCCTTTGCGTGCACTGGGTGTGCTGTTCTGCCGAACATTTAGCTCATGACCTCATTTGTAAAGTTGCCTTCACAGGCTGTACTTCTTGCTTGGCGACACTAGCTGGCTCCCCTACAGCACCAGGCATCCCCACATAGCATGCGGGGAGCAATCAAGAGCAACCAATTCCCACACACTCCATGTCTGGAATATATGACGAGATGTCTGCAATGACCCTTTGAAACAATCCCTATGTAGGTAAACATGCCATACTTGTCATACATGGAGTCTTTGAGATTGTATATCAAAGACTTGTTTGTCCCACACCCCAAGGAGGTAGTGCACTAAGTCTGAAGAACGTGGCCATACGTGGCCTAGCTTCAGGTGATGATGGTTCATTGGTCCTTTGGGAGGAAGATGCTGATGTGGAAATGTGCATGGCAATTTGCATGTGTGCAATGTTAGAAGTTGTTCACTGCATCATTTTTGTTTTGATATCAAGACTTTTCTTCTTTGGGGACCATTTGTTTGGCAAGATATATGATATATACTTATATACTTATACTTATAGTGATTATATATAATCTTATATAATCTTATATAATTGTAAGCTGTTCTGAAAGGGGTTCTCCAATGCAGAGATGGATGAATCACCATGAAGTTCGAAACATTGTAGAAACACCTCCTCGTTGCCTCCAGAGTGTTCAATGCTTGTTTTCAGAGCTGAAGTCAAACCTCCTTGTCCAACAAAAACCGCAGCCTTTCAGAAGAAACTGGACCGAAGACTCCCCCCTTAGAGGGCAATAAGACTTGATGTCGCAAAGCCCTAGGTCCTCGGACGCCGAAGCCTTTCAATCCCTTTTTTTTGCCCGTTGGGGGGTCCATGTTTTTCTTGGCAGAGTGCAGTTTGTGCCATAACTACATGATAGGCTTCCAAGGATTTTTGGTCCCTTCAGAAGCCATTTGGTTGGTACGTTTAGGGCCCGACCTGCGGTGACACTCGCTCTCTTGATCCATTAGATCCCCATCCCCCAACCCCGCTCTCTCGCCATGGCCACCACCCGAAGGCTCCGGAGGCCTTCCACCCCCCGGACCACGCGGGGCGCGTCGGCGCTGACCGGCCATCGTCATGCGGAAGACCGTGGCGCCGCTGGGCGGAGAACGGGTTCGTTCGGCGAACGGGCTCGGTGGCCCGGGACCAACGCGGGCGCAAAGGCCTTCGCCGACGATGTCGGAAGAGTGGTGACACCCCACTGAACCACAAACCAAGTGGATAAGACGTGGAAACCGTGCGATGTTTACCGTGTCTTTGTCCTCAGAGAAATGGAAGGGGTCCGGCCCCTTCCACCGGTCCATGTCGTCGTGAAAAACCGCAGAACCTGGCCACGTGGCCGAGGATGCTGAAGCGGGGGGCCACGGCAGAGAACGTGGCTGAGCAGGTCGCCAAGGTGAAGAAGGTGCGGCCAAACTGCTGGGACTGCAAGGGTTCCCCAAAAGTGAGAAGGGGAGACCTTCAAAGGGACCTTGGCTTTGACCGTCTGACCTGTGTGGGAAGGCATGAATTTTCTGATTTGAGACGAGGTCCGAGTGATAATGCTTGTTTGTGCAATGATTTCTTGCCCAAAAGCCCTGGTCCTAGAATGGAAAGAAAACTTGTTTGCCAGGATGGGGCCACCGTCAGCATGTGGTTCCACCCATGGCCCGAAAGGATTGGAACGGTTTACATTCCTTGACATCGGACGATCGGTGGGACTATGTCGGACTGGTGGAAGATCGTGGGCCCGAGTGTCGGCTGAGAACCAAGGAAGTGTCGGGTGTGATGTGCCCGAGCTCCACCGAAGGTTCTGCATGCCCCGGTGAATGAGGCTGTGAATGAAGAGGGTGTTGGGTCTTCCAAGCCACGATGGTCAGCTGGGTCGGTTGGTACCATGATGTTGGCCAAAGACGACTGGTGTTTCTGGTGTTTGGAGAACCTTAACAATAAGAAAGGTGCAGGATGAACATCAGAACCACCTGCGAAATAGTCACCACCAGAAGAGTGGACGTTCCACTTGAATCGAATAAAATGTATTGCTCTTAAGTTAGTAGGATGTTTTTGGTGTCAATGGTTCTCACAATTGCTCGAAGAAATGATTTCTATATACGTGAGAACGTTTTGTTTAAAGGAATTTGACCAAAGTTAATAGAAGGAACTCCCAAACGACGACTAGGGGAGTTCGTGCGCTGACTTCCTGGTGGCATCGCTTAAAGAGAAAGAAAGTGACACATCACTAACATACCTGGACCATCCAATGGGTGTCCAATGGTCATCACTGAGTAATGTAGGGCAGTCCATTGGACACCCATTGGCCCAACTTGGCCAAACGTTGGACGAGTCGATGGCCACGAGGGTGAGGAGCTGGTTGGGCGGGGGTGGGTCCTGTGTCTCAGAAGCACCAACCTGATATGGAGATGCTTGACCATCCTCAGATGGGGAGGTTTCTTCATCAACAGTGAACCTTTATAAAGATGTCCAGTTGCATAGTGACAGCAGGAGAAGCTGTAAAAGGAAGCATTATCCCACCAACGGAGGATGAACTTAGTCGTGGCTTCAGGACCGTGGGGATGTTTTGTAGTCTTCATTGAATATAGATAAATTCACAGCGATATCTAAGCCAGATCTTGAACACTCAACATCAACTCCACCTTCTTTTCCAGGCCCCTCCCTGAAACCGTGTCTTCCCCAGCACCCCACCCCAAATCCCGGACCCAGCACCTTCGTGCGGCAGTGCGGCAGGTCTTCCAGTCCCCGTTGCTCCCGCCGGCCTTCCAGCAGCTCCACGCCGAGACGCAGGCCGATCGCCAGAGGCGCCGCTCTGCGCGGTCGGACGGTGGGAGGCACGCCGAGCAACGTGGCGAACCACGGGAGTTCGCCCCTCTGGGAGACCTTTTTTCGGTTGCTTCGAAGCACCTCGACTCGGTGCAGACCGGTGTGCGCTTTTTGGGTGACCAGGGGTGGTGGACCGGTGTGTTGGAGGGTCAATGAGGGCTCAAGACCGAAGGATGGAGGACTCACTGGACGTGACCTTGTTGGATGCTATTAATCCGCAGAGGGTTCAATGAACACCCCTTGGCAGCGAGAACACGACCTGTGCACCCTCTATTTGCTGTGTGGACATTCCGGGACTTCAAAGACACTATATAGATTGCTCAACCAGCCTTAATCCATTTCAATTAAGAGTGACATCAAGGTCAGAAAGCATGGAAAGATATGGAAAGAGTGCTTGTCAAATGGACACGCTTCCAGGAAAGATCACCAATTGCACCACATGCGAGGTGCTTGTTCAGTATGTATTCCCCTAGCGTGTTATGCTGATTTATGCTGTGTCACCAGAACCCACTTCCAAAAGGAAAAGACTTGGAATCCTATTGAGGGTTGATGTGATATTATATATGATATGAAGATTGCAGATATTTGCTGTGTAAATGTACTTATATTCATACATTGGAACTTCATGGTTTCTTCTTGTTCTGTTTGGGGCCACTCCACGAAAAAAAACAATATTGCCGCTGAGATTTGAATGCTGTGACCTGTCCTTCTCATGGCCATGTCGATATCGCATCTCCCACCCAGATCAGATCCCCCCAAAGAATGGTTTTCAGAGGAGATGGACCGACAATCCGAAAAGAATTGACGTTCATGTAATTATACATGAAGTCCTACGTACTTTCAGATCAACATACCCTTTGAGAAGGTGATGTGTTCGACAATGTTATGTAGGTCTGGAGGGTCCAAGTACTAAGTAACCTTCTTTTCGAAGGTGGTGGATGCCAGTCTGGGAAGGGGATCTCGATCAATATCCAGTCTGACGGATCTCGTACGACGAGTCGACCGGTCGACGTTACCGTCGACCAGTTCATGGAGTCATCCCACGGACTCCGTGACGGGTGAAGTGACTCGACCGTGTTTGGGTGACAGTGACCGGTGGTTCTGCATGGAGCTGAACGGATGTTCTGCTGTTTGTGGAGTTCTGCGGGTGTTGCATTCGCCATTTTCTTCGCTGAAAAACATGTAGCAGGTAGCATTTCAGGTACTTTCTGTCCTAAGTAGGGAGCTGAGCACTGGATGCTCCGTCCACAACCGTCCAACCTCTGGGCCGTTTTGGCATGTTGAGTGACGAGTGACCTCGGGCTCGCAATGACTGAACGGAATGAAGAGCCAGTCCCACACATTCCATGGGACTGGCAGATGTACTGATCAGGTGACTTCAGGGGTCCATGAAGGCATATTTCCTTTAATCACCTATATATTACCTAGCACATCCAACAGGTGCCCTGTTTGGAGACCTGTTTACGTACGGTAGGGTAGTCTATTGGACACCCATTGGATGATCCTGGTACATGGAGTGTTTGGGAGTGTTTTACTCAAGGATTTTAGACTGTCTAAGACAGGTCACCCCCTTGGTCGAAGCGAAAGCGACAGGGTGAAGGTTTCACCCGTTTCGTCGTCGAATTTCATCGCAGGAAGCGGCGCCACTTGGGCAACGCTGCATGGTTCAACCTTCTGATCGGGGATCCTTGGTCTCGGAAAAAGGCGTGTTGTCGCTGTGGAGAAGATTGGAGAAGAGGGCAGTCGCAGCTACAACTGGAAGTTGGCTTTCGAATGGCTTAGGGGAGTTAGCTCCGATAACGGAAATGCGTGCTCAGTTTCAATGCGATTCACAACGGCTTTCGATACTTTCTGAAGTCGTATTGAAGGAGTCGAGGCAAACTGGCAGACTGGTAGAGTTTGGTAGATGTTTGCTTGGCGATTTTGACATCAAGACAAGAACAGTACCCTGTAGCCTACATCCATCAACTTCGTACCCTATCAAGGTATTCCACATTGGTCGCGTGTGATGGCATCCTTGCAGCTCCACCGGTCGGGGAAAATGAGTATTCACACCCCTTTCGCGGTCGAATGTGCCTGCACAGAGTAAAGGGAACACATACACATACAGACATAGACATCCATCCATGCATACAGACAGACATACATGCAGACACACATCCAGACATACATGGGAAAAGTGTGTCATTAGCACCCTACTGGCTCGGCAGCAACCTGCTCTCGGAGCCGGGAGGAAATGTTAACCGGCCTCAAGCGCACCTCAGTCTGTCTGTCTCGGCGCGTTTGTCTCAGTCTGTCAACTCTGTTTGTCTCGGTCGACACACGGACGAACACACCCACGATGTCAATAATGCAATCTCTCCCGGCCGGCATGTCCGGCATCGCCAACGTTTGGTCCAAGTTGGTATCCACCTCCAAAATCACTGTAAAGCACAGCATTTCAAGTCGAAAAATGAGCACCCCCTCTCAAGCTAAAGCTTAAGATTTCATCTAGCAGTTTTCTTCCGACTGCTGTTGCCGCGAGCCTCCACAACGCCTCGGCACCTTCGGAGCGGGCGGACTTATTCCAACTGGTGCTTCGCTTGGCTTATGTTGCGTTGAATCAGCAATGAGTGAAGCAAGCCACAGAAAAGTCAATTGATCGAATTGATCGCCTGGCTTAGTGGATGACAAACTTGCCAGTTCCTTTTTAAACTATAGCTCTAACTTTCGACTACTTTCCAGGCCTCCAGTGTTTGGGATTCGTTTGGGTGTCCAAAGCCACTTTCTGGTATACATTACCTAGACACTCCACTACCCGCCATTTTCACCCATTTTTTATTTTTTGATATTCAATGGTTCAAGGCTGAAGCCTCAAAGAGAATCCACCCATGGAACCCCAAAGTGAGACAAACAAACCATCCATCATACTTCATTGTAGGAGATATGCCTCCATTGATCCCTTATACTTCATTATAGGAGATATGCCTCCATTGATCCCTTTTGAACCAGAACCAATGTAGGTACATAAGTCGAGTGTTTGGGAGATACATGTTATGGGATGTCTACACCATGTTGGGCCAGCCAACTGGTGACGTTCACTATTATAGAAGACCACTACTGAAAAGTAGGCAATCTTCTAAATAAACAGGTCACAGGCAAATAGAAGATTGTTATTTTTGTATGTCGCCAGATAGCGAAGCTATGGGGTTCCTACTTCAAATACCATGAGTTGCCCGTGCGCGCTTTCGAGACAGGTTGCTGGTGCTGGTGCTGTGAGCTGCTGGCTGTGCACGTGGTGGAGACAGGTTGCTGGTGCTGGGTGCTGGGTGCCGGGTGCCGGTGCTGGTGCTGTGAGCTGGCTGTGCGCGTGGTGGAGACAGGTTGCTGGTGCTGGTGCCGGGTGCCGGTGCTGGTGCTGTGAGCTGGCTGGGTGCGTGGTGGAGACAGGTTGGTGGCGCTTTGGAATGGTGCTGTGGGCTGCGTCTGCTGTGCGAGAAAAGCCGCGCACAGCTCTTGTCTAATCTGTATTTTTTCTGGACCTGTCTTCTATTTGGACATGACCCGGAACCACCCCCAAAATGCTCGTCTTCTATTTGAAATAATGTCGTATTATCTTCTATAATAGTGCACATCACTATAGGTTTTGGTGGTTGTTGGGAGCAAGTTGGCCACAAGGCTCCATTGGGAGTGTTTTTACTAGGTAACCCACGTACATCACTGTAGATATACCTCTGATACTCGCGTTGCTGTGGCTCAAGAAAAAGGTGTGCAGTGTTGGCTGTTAGCCTGTAAACATAGGTTATCAACCGTATAGCCGTAGGCCCGTAGTTTTGCTCCCCCGTCATTCGCAGCCATGGATATGTCCTTTTACCAGAATGCCCTCGCGAGGATGGCTGCACCGTACGGACGTACGGATGGGCGGGAGAGCGTGGACGGAAATCCCGCCGCTTTTCACTTGCCGTTGATGGTCCGGGGAAGACAGGTTTTGCTGATGATGCATGAGTACTTTAGCACAAACATCAAACATGGTGCTACCTATTCCCTCAGTGACCTATTCAATGTGAGGATGGAGGGCGACAACCTCAAGACTTTCTTGACTAACTGGGATTCAGTTACCACTCTCACTCTCACTCACTCTCCCACTCTCACTCTCACTCACACTCACTCCCACTCCCACCCACACTCACTGACCCACCTTCACTCTCATTCACACTCACTCTCACTCTCACTCAGACTCTCTCTCTCTGACCCACACTCACTCACACTCGCACTCACACTCGCGCTCGCACTCACACTCACTCACTCTCCCACTCTCACTCACACCCATCTGCAGTGGACACGAATGCGGTATGGTGTGCAACAGAACAGTAACAGTATCCTGAATGCGGTATGGTGTGCAACACAACAGTAACAGTATCCTGTGCAGCGTGGGTACGCAGCCGCAAGCCTTCTAACAGCAATATCAACAAAAGAAGCTGGACGCTGCCAAACAACAAAACGCGCCCCAAAGGGCAGCAATCGATCCTCTGGGTGGACACCGGATCCATATACTGTTCTCCTCACGCGTCGGCACGCGATATCGTCACGCATCGTCACGCAGCGTCACGCATCGTCACGCAGCATCACGCAGCGTCACGCAGCGTCACGCAGAGTCACGCAGCGTCACGCATCGTCAGCGATAATTGGACACCTTCACAAACCTACTCTGAGAAGGATTTGCTTAGAAACTCTTAAGGGAGGCGTTAACTGCAGAAGCGTGCCAACTGCAGCAAGAGCTGTCGCCATTTGATGAGACGGACCGGGCTGAGTTTGACCTCTACTTCAAGGAGCTATGGTTTGGGCAGTGCCCATCCAAGAGGCGTATGAAGTTCCGGGATGAAGAGGGCAATTTGCAGATCAAGGACATCAAGGTGTGGAAGCCCAGGAGAATGAAGGCCTGGGAAGGCAGCCCAGGATGGAATGCCTGTAATTCCCACACCCGTTCTGAAGGAGGAAAGAGTCAGGCGATCCGTGAGTGGATTACCGAGAGGCTCTTCCCCCGATATGAAGTCCTTGATATACTTCAGAAATGCGGCCACAGCGATGAGCTGGATAGGATGGTGCTCCCCCGTGTGCCCATGAGAACGATTGCTCGTTGGGCGGTTGAGGAGCAAGGTGAAGCCACCTTAGATGCCACTGCATGCGTTATTCCGGAGCCATTCAAAGCTCGGATTATCACTAAAGGTGATGCACGCAGTTATTACGCCGCTATGCCCTTGCAGAAAGACTCTTGGCGACATCTGGCTGAGAGGGAGGAGTTTGCATTGATTGCAAGCCCACAATATCTTCTGTCCCGGGGGATTCAACCAGCTGATGATCTGTGGATTCACCCAGCTGATGATTTGTGGAAGATCGCGACACTATTGGGTGCGCATAGAATCTCCTATTCAACAGCAGGGTTGGATCCTGAGGAGAAGGTTCCTGAAGACTTCGTCATGAAGAATGGCCAACTCATGGGGAGCCCATTGTCATTTCCAATTCTTTGTGCCAGAAGTCAACAAATAGTCAACAATGAAGTGCGTCTTGAGGAGCTCTCGCCGTTCCCAATTCAAGTCCAGTGCGCTGCTTTGAGATCACTCAAGCGATCCATGCCAAGGAGAACCCGAGGAAGAATCCTTCAGGCTGGATCTTGAAAGGGTGCAAGAAGAAGGTGGAGAAGATCCTTGGGCTGAAGGGCCTGCATTGCCAACCAGCGACGTGTTTGTGAAGCCAGTGTTCTTAGCAAGACAATTGAGTGTCGTTGTCCAGTCAGCTCGACTGCGCGCAGTATGGAGCATCTCTGGCTTTGGCGCGCCTTGCGCCCCGTCATCACTGCCTTCTTCGTCAACGTCATCGCTGTAGAAGCAGTCACCGAAGGGGATGTTCTTACGTCCACACTTTGGGCATGTGGCGACGCGTTGAAGCAGTCAATGCAGATTGAGCAGTGCATACAGCACAGGCGGAAAATGCGAATTTCTAAAGGTTTCCACGTCTGTCTCGACTGGCTCCAGTCGGCCTCATGAGTTTGCTTGGCCTTGCTGTAGCTGCCAAGTGGAGCAAATCCATCCATCCGTCCGCGCATCTCCCTGATTGATTGCGCGGCATTGGTGATCCCTGTCCGTGTGTGGGTCAAGATCCAGCAGCAACCATCAATGTAGTTCCCTTGTTCGTTCAAATTGATGCATCACCAAGGTCGTTCTTGGAGAGCCATTGTTGCAGGGCGGAGTGGCCAATCACTTGCAGTGGGCCACACATTCATCAGAGTCTGCATTGGCTCCAGCCAATTAGCCTTTCAACTGGCTCCAGAAATACACTCCAGAAAGAGGCTTCTCAAACTCAAACCTTTCCAAGTTCAAACTCAAACCTCCCCAAGGCTTTGAATCAAATCACCAGATTCCAAGCAGTCAAAGCAGCAACAAAACGGCAGAAACGCAGAACAGCGTTCAAACCAAAAAACAATAAAAAGGCAGGCAAGCACCAACTAAGTATGCACAGACCAAATGGCAATGTACACAAAGGACGGATAGTGGCGCAGACCAATTGCAGACCAATGGCAATGTACACAAAGGATAGTGGCGCAGACCAACCGCAGACCAATGGTGCTACAAGGCTTTTGGTTTGGATTGTTTTAAACTTGTTCGTTACTATTCTGAGGTGGGGTCCAGTTTTCAAGCAGTCAGAGCAGCCACGAAACGGTAAGAGGTGCTGCAAAGCATAAATAAAATTGACAGAAAACAAAGAAATCGGTACGGCACCACCTCCATAGGTAATCGGTGCGGCCTGTAAGTTCTGCGCCCCAAATTTTCCTCGGGGTCGAAAAAATGCTCTCTCCGTTGCACGCGGCTCAGGCCATGCACTGTCCAATGCGGAGAGTTGTCCGACCCAAAAATGAAGATGTGAGGCTGTGAAAATAGATTTAAGTGACATTAATCAAGTGTTTGACTAAGTAAAGGCCGGGGCTCACCCGGAAACTATAAACAAAATAACATGTGAAATTGTTTGTGTGAAGCTGTGACTGTTGGAATGTGGAGTTGTGGTTGCAACCATGCCCAGGGAATTGGAATAAGAACATGGCTGTTTTGAATCCTTTTCCTGAACCAATAAAATTGCAAGATCACAATGAAACCCATGCTTTGTTAGGGACGATCGAATTATTGATACGACGACTCGGCAAACACACCAGTGTCACCTTGAAGACCATGTCGTTGAAAGCAGGCAGGCCGTCGTTGAAGATGAAGTCCGGCCGGAAATGTCCGACTCAGCCCAACCCAGACCGACCCAATGATTCAAGGTTTACTATTACTGTGACTACTTAGAGAAATTCTGAGTGTTGGACCAATGATTGCACCTGCACCAAAATTTTACACTGCTTCAAACAAGCAAATCATATCAAGTGGACAAATCATAATCCGAACTCAACAGTTTTGGCAGTCATCCCTTCAGTCATGCCTTGACATAATATATAGGTGTCCTTTGAGTGCAGCAGTAACTTTGGCTGGTCATTTCTGGAGATATCATCTTACACGGTTTGAAGCACTTTGCATGGAGTTGGAACACCCAAACCACATGGCACAATATTGAAAGCAACAATGGAGGAAAGCCAGCAGGCAGCAACTGCATTCCAATTGAATTGTTACACTACCCCAAGTATCCCCAAGTGTCACACTCCGTATTAGTGGCTTGATACCCACCATCTCATTGTTTTTACTAATTAGGGATTTGTTTTGAAGTTTTGATTGTTTGGTTCACCAACACTAACCAACAACAATATGTTGAGCTTCTTTTCCAAGTTTTATAGAACGTTGGTGTCAAATCTCAAGACACTTGGCCTTCCAACATTAAATAAACAGGTGCCTAATTTATGAGAAAAATCAACTGCCATCACTTTATGGATTCTCTGGCCCCGCAAATCATACTACCGAAAATGAACCCTTAGATTCAGACCAGGATAGAAAGACTGCTGGAACGTCCAATTGCAGCACTAAGTATACTCAACTGAGTTGAAGTATGGAATCAATAACTGAAAAGTACATCACAACCCGGGTGATTAATTGTTCGTTGAATTACTGCTTTTAACAGTTTCTTGACAAACAAGCTTTATCAGTTAATTTTATCTGAATGAAACCAATTGTTTACATACTGGCATATACTGACTGTTATATGCAAAATGGTGTTGATCAAAAACATGTAGAATTCCTACCTCTTCCCTGCTCCTACCTTCCCTGCTAATCGTCCCGTCTGACCATGTGTTGATGACGATTTCTTCGCCATTCAGGTCATGCTCTGTGTGAACACCATCGTCGTGGGCATCGAGACCGACTACTCCCGGGGACGGCAGCTCGAGGAGACACCGGGGTGTTGCGCTTGCGCGTGGGGTGTGAAACACCGTTACTGTAGGTGTGGGATCATGGAGGAGCAAATACCAGCATTCCAGAAGGCATATACCAGCGCATATGGGCGATGCAAAAAGAAACAGTGACTGGAAAATCAGTACCTTTTCCCCCCTTGGAAAAACAACCCCTAGGTAAATATGCCAGTCACATCGGTCGTGTTTGGATACTCGGACTGGTTCCTGATAGGAGATGAAGGAGTGTTTCCTTCGCCAAGAAACCCGTGTTCCCACAGACTTCCGACGGGTCGTGCCGTTGTGCCTGGAAGAAAGAAGGAACCTCGCCAACAGTCTGGCAGGTGCTTGGGTTTCCTCAGGTAGTGTGTCACCAGAGAAGAATCGACTTCAAATAGTGTTTGTGTCGGGATGCTTCATATCCTCCAAATGTCAATACGCGTTTGATGATGAAAAAATATAACACTGCAGCACCTGGTTGACATTCGCACAACCATGAAAAACTATCAGGTCCACATGCTTGGCAACAACATTGAACTTGAACCATTCCCCGAGATGCAAAGTTCCTACATTCCGGTGATGACTTGCTGCTGACACTCCAGATTTCAGGAAGATATGGAATTCCCGTAGAATTTGGACTCCCTCCACGGGCATCGGTGTGCTTGCCATATTTGGACCCCCTCACCGGAGCCCTTTGAGGTGATGCATCTCATCTTGCACTGATGCAGACCCACAAACCTTTAAACATGGCTGTTTCACCATGGTTGTCCATCTCAGAACGCATGTTCTTCTCTATCTCAGAACGCAGCAGCGTACGCAGCAGCGTACGCAGCTCTCCATGAGCAGCACCGTACGCCGTACGCTGAGTACGGTTCCTCCAGCCGTTGTCTTCTGGTCTCGACTCTCGACGAACGGTTTGGGAGGACCGTTTGGCCTTCTTCGTCATCGAGACCTTGTTCGCGGTGACCTTCTTCACCGAAGTGATGATCAGGACCGGGTTTGTAGTGGTGGAACCCACGACGGGACTGGAAGATGATCTACTTAGACTTTGGATGTGGGTCCGGGTGGTTCTGAGGGGTTAAATGTAGGTTGATATTCCTGTCCTTTTGAAGTGTTTGGGTATATTAATACCCCTTTGCTCAAAGTATGGACCCAGCCTCCCAGGTCCCACAGAAACATGGAGCTGGGTGGATATTGGTCTATTGGCCGGGTATGGATCTTCCGGAGACACTGAGGGAACTTAAGGAACTAAAACATCAACAGCGAAACAGCACAAGCTGAGCCAAGCGGACTTTATAGACCTGGCACTAGCAGTATGCAAGCAGCCGTACCAGGCTTACCCTGGTGCTGCGGCCCAGACGAGCCCAGACGTTTGGCTTTAGCTTAGTCCGTTAGGAAAAGACGTGACCACCCCGACCACTCCGCAGCACTTCATGAGCTTCTCCAATGGCTTTGTTCATGCATGTTCAGAACATGAAGGTGCAAAAACACCCCGGTTCGCGAGAAACAGATGGAACCTGATGGCATGGGCCGCCATGGACCGCGATGTTCCTCCAACATCACCTGCACTTCTTGTGCAAGTTACCCATTTGTAAGTTGAATCATGATAGAATCCAATTCTTCACATCTCTTCACAATATATTATGCATTTTGTACTGCATTTTGTTGGGTGTTGCGTCCATTCAATCTCTTCAGGATTGGTGCCCCTTTTCGCCGGTGCCCAAAAAACACGGCCCCGATCGACTGCCGTCTCGGCACCCAGCGCCTGGGCGTAGCACCAGCGGCGCCCCAGGATGCATCACCTCGGCTGGGAGTATGCCATCGATCCTTGGAACATCTTCGACTACTCCTTGGTCGCCCCTTGGGTCTCCGAAGAGAAGATCGGATGAGGAGGTCGGAAGGAGTAGCGCCGCCCAATTCGAGAGAAAGGGACTGGAAGATGTCTTTAGATTGAGATGTGTTCAAGCTTTTTCAAGTTTTAATAGTAATATGTCCAGCAATTTCGTGTAATTTCCAGTCCCATGGACTTTTGGAGAATGTAGGGGATAGGGATGTCCCACGGCCGCCGTCGTTTCGTTCTGTCGGGATGCCGTCGTTTCATCATCGGGTGCCGTCGCCCTTCGGACTTCCGTGATTGCGCCAGGTTCCCCGGAACTCCATGCGGATGGTTTTCGCGGGAATCTGTTCGTTCAACATGTATTCTTCTTGTACTTCATTTCAGGAGAAGAAGAGCTCAGAGCAGGGTGCTTGAAAAAAGGACTTTTGGATACTTTTGGTCAGTAATGACATAGATGTCCGTTGCTTCAGGCTATGTGAGCAGCTTTTCTACTGGGTTGGATAGACGTCCAGGTGTAATGACCGTGATGACCAGAATCATCCGATTTCGAAAGTTCACCGGAAACATCGGGTAACTTGACCATACCAGAGTTGAGACATCATCGCATACAGACAGTACCTGCGTGGATGGAACAATCTCCCAACAAGTCATCAACATGTAATTCCCAGACACTCCATGTATATATGCCTACATTGACCCCCCTGGCACCACCCCAATGTAGGTAAATATACCATCCGTGGAGTGTTTGGGATTGGTATAAAGTTCAACAGTTTGAGCTGGAAGTGGTGCACAGTCGATCTATAGACAGGGCGCAGTCGAACCGAAAGGTGCACTTTGTCGACATACAGGGCGAAGCGAATGTTGGGTGCTGTTCAACGCTGGGGAGTGGAGCACGGCGAAGCAACACCGGGTTCTTCTATCCTTGCGTTCTGCATTCGGGTGGGGCAGGCCAGACAAACCAACATATCGCCAGACAAACATATTATACTTAATACGTTGATTTTAGTGGCAGCGCTTCGTATCCGACCTTGGAATCGGCGCTTGGTGTTGATTTGTTTGGACTTGAGATTTCGCAGGTGGTTCCCAACGGCGGGGTTCACCGTTTGTTGGTGGAACCAAGGAACCAAGGAGTGCCAACGGACAACGGCAGGTGGTTTTCATGTGTACCAACACGCCTCCGAACCGCGCCGGGAACAGAAATCCTTGGCAGTTCGGATGCGTTTTCTTTCTTATTGTCCCTCCCAGTTTCTGGACCCAGTTCCTGGACCCAGTTCCTGGCTTCCCAGCTCCTGCTCCAGCTACTGGAACACAGCTCCTCCCCAGCTCCCTTTGCACTTCACAATTGGATTTGGGTTCGGTTCCGGAACTTTAGCAACACATGTATAGTTGAAATGCTTGAAACATCCCAGTCAACTGAGTTGCTACATGCTGTTTGTTTGCAAAGTTGGATTACTTTTGCTATTTTGCAATTTTCGGGACAAGGGACTAGACTAGTAACTACGAGTCTTTGTCATAGCCCCTTTTAGTCTACGAGTCATTGCGAGTCTATTTGTTTATCATCCAATTTGGAGGCACTTAGGCAGACGTTGTCTTCCAGTCTTCCAAGATGTCATGCCGATGTCTTCGGGCGGTGACCAAATGGGATGATTTGGGATCCAAGAAACTTCGACAATCCCCCGCACGTACTTCAGCTCAAAGTGAAAAACCATCAAAAACCTTGTTTCAAACTTTATAAAATTGTTTGTGTGACCCGAAAAGGAGTTTCCTTGGTCCATTGGTGTGGCTGAAAATAGCTGGACTCCAGACTTTTAGGGTTCAGATTGATTCAGAACGATGAACGGATTTCGACATCCCAAAGGTCTTTGGCTGGACAGACGTCTTGGTCTCTGTCACGGACACCGGCAGCGGCGGCATGCGGCTGGCCGCTCGGACGTGTAGAACTTGTATAGGCCCTAGGGCTCCTGGCCTAGCTCCTGAGAAGGTGGTTGGGGTGGGTTTGGGGGGTCTAACCACCTTCTGAGAGATGGTTGGAGCCCTAGGGAGGTATCAGTTGGGTTGCAGTGGCTCTATATTGAAGGCAGTCCAAAGTCCTCAAGGGTGTGGGTCTGATATGCGATGAGATGTGAACATTTCATGGTGCCCTCCAAGATGAGCCATGAACACTTCATAGTTTGTTACTAGTTAGATCCTTGTGTCCAGCCCCTCCTTGGTGACCTCTAAGAGACTCTCCGATCACTTGGCTGGGTCCTGATTCCCCGAACAGCCTCAGTGTGCAATAGATGGATGACGGGCGACGGGTGACGGGAAGCATCCAAACACCAACCGACCGTGAACTGAACGTCCAAGCGACGGAAGATGGCGCAACGTCCCAACAAGTGTGGTTGGTGCCCTACAAGTCGAAACACTGGATAAAACTGTTTCGCCTGAGTGTAACACCTCTCAGCTGTTGTCCAACCATTCATGCCAAACCATTCATGTGCAAGCATCCCACCGGTACGGAGAAAACCATTCTTTGCACAGGAGTTTCGCCACCAAGTTCGCCCCTCCACTCTCGTCGCGGCTCAGAGCCGCCATCAACAGACGCCACCAGGCCTCGTCCCTGCGGCTCTTCCGGCTGCTGCGGGTGGTGCGGAGCATTCGGGGGATCAAGGTCTTAGCAGGTGCGGAGGGGTGTTTCACGGGCCGTGTTTCACGGGTGGCGGCGGGTGCAAGATTGGGGGGGTCAGATTGAATCAGATCTCATATAAGTACTTTTTTCGGGAGTGAGTTGACTTCTGGTCTTCATTACTTGTGTTGAGGATTTTGTTGAGTTCACCACAACTTCGTCGTGCTTGCCCATGATTCATTGATGCTTCGATGGGTCAAGGGCCCAGGAGAGTTCACCAGGGGCCGCGGGGGGTGGAAGTACCATGGAACCTGTGTGGAACGAACAGCTCATGTGCTCTCGAACAGCTCATGTGAAACGGTGTTCGGATCTGTTCCAATGCTGATGTTCCAATTCTAAGAAACAAACTCTTCCGCCGTGTTCTCCTTTTTGCGCACACGAGGAGAGGACGATAGGCCCTCGCCTTCTGTGTAGGGTTCTGGAAGACGATCTCACAGAATCAAAGCATTTACACTCCCTGACACTAACATGGAAGTGGAGAATGGCCCCTTGGAAGACCATTTTCCACTACAAACAGGCGGTTTTCCACTTCCCATGTTAATTCCAGGGAGTGTATGTTTTCTCTCTGAAAGGTCCTATTTTCCATCAATGACAAACTAAACTGTATGGAGCTGACGGACCCAGGGCAGCAAGGGCAGTCCACATGGTCCGCATCGCAAGAATATAGACAAATGGCCTTCAAGAGAACGGAAGAAGGCAATCAAATGAGCTGTCCTGTTGCTTACATATCTTACATGGTTTTGGCCATGTCAATATGATTAAACTTGTTTAAGTATTAAATATGTGTTTTTGTTTTCTTTGTCTTTACGGTGTCTTTTGGGCGCAGGGGCCGGAAAGGGCACGTGCAAGCGGAGGAGTACTTTTCCCGTGGTGGAATGATGGTCAGCGGTCCCTCTCTCAATATTGAATCATACTGAATCAATCCAAATCATTGAGTTGGGTTGCATATAGGCAATGGTGCAAAAGAGAGAGGAGTTTCCGCTAAATATGTGTGACCTGGTCATACCTTTGATGGTTTTCAAAGTGGTTGGATTTGGAGAACACTGTGGCACTTTGGGTTGATCAGATGTCCCAAGCGGCCCATGTTGTCCACCCAAGCTCAAGCAGTACGATGGCGAGCACCTTCAGCCTGTCCACCCAGTGGATCCAGCGAGCACCTTTAGTAGCCTCAAGGCTTGGCCACGCGAACTCCTCCACCAGAAAAGAAAGTCCCCCTCTTAGAGCATGGACATGTTGAGAGCATCCACATACCCAACTGATTCGCTGGTAGAAACCAAGACGATCAACCTAGCTTTCCTGTTGTCCTTATGTCAGTAGAGGACAGCTACTGTCTCAACCTAAGCATGATGTTAAGACCAAAGAAGGGGAGTGTGTTGTTTGTCCCCTTGAGCATGTCAGGATGACTATCCCTGGAAACTGCCAAAGCTATCATATCATGATACACAAGACTCCACAAGACTCAGAGGTGCTGAAAAGGAGACTCCGGATTTCCTTCACCTTTCAGCTTCGATCTTTTGTTCCAACCCCCCTTGGTTTGGCTCCTAAGGCCCCAGGACTGGTCGTTTGGGTCGTTTTCGCTCCCTGCAGGTCTTTGGGTGGTGATCCAGGGGCTCTTGGACTCCTACCGCACGGTGCTTTGGGTAGGCGAGCTGAGCACGAGCGCTGATCGCGCGGACCGCTGGGAAGCGGACCATTTGGGCAGAGTCAAGTACAACCATCCCTGGAGTTGATAGAATCTGATAGAAGCATGGAACAAACCCCAAAAGCAGGACGCGTTTGCTATCTGGGTTGGGTGTCCGGACTGTCTCAGTTTCGGGCTTTACTCCAGGATGACGACCTGGGGCGCAGGGGGGTTGGTGCAAATATTGAGCTCATGACTCATGTGGGCTCATCAGGACTTGGACGATACATCAACTATAGCGGTACTCTGAATCTGCAAGTCGAGGCTCATGTTCCGAGTATTCAAGTGAGGTCAGGTAGTCTGGACCATCCCGGCCTGTCTTTTTGTTTGGAGTGGATACATGCCAGAGACACCAGGTCACCAGCGAAAGTTTTGGGGTAGCAAGGCCAGCTCAAGACAAAGCAAAAAAGCCTCATCAAGCTGGTCAGGGTGCATGGGTGAATGTTGAAGTATGTTCCAGTGCCTTCAATGCTTGGAGCCGCGAAAGGAAGGATCCTCCACGTGAATGTGAGTCCTTTGTCCCAACATGCAGGATCTTGAATTTGACTTATAGCCGACTTGAAACAATGGTTTTAAAGGAACTGTGAGGTTTTGACAAACGCTCCTGTATCACTTATTAGCTACGTCTCATTTGTCATTCATGTGTAGTTTTTCCATGTAGTACGGGGGCCAGCGCGGGGCAAACATGGTTTGTGACTCAGTCGGAGAGACGCTGTTGATTGAATTGAATCTAGCTCATGTCCCACTTTGCGATCTTTTAAGGAGAACAACACATATATCACATATATATATATATATGTGTGTATACCATGTTGAAGTGTTTTGCTCCGTTGTCCGAATGAACTCCCCCCTTGTTGGATCAACCGGCTATCACCGACTCCACATGGGGCCACACGGAACTCACCCGACGGATCCGACTCCGACTCCGACTCCGCCAGCCTTCGCGGTGCCTCGGCAGTGAAGGGATCCGCCTGGACGGTCGGCCAATCAGGTGCCCCACACTTCAGACCCTGGGGAAGACCTTCTGGCACCCACCCCCCAAAAGACCTTCTCCCCAGCAGCTCTACATAGTTGGAGCTCTAGGGGTAAAACCTTGCTCCAGCAGCTTCGATCTTGGACATCGTTTTTGACGGTTTTGATTTTGGATATCAGCTTTTTGGCCTTGCAAGGGGTTGGTGACAACGTGTGGGCCGAGTGGTGAGAGGTGGTGTTTCATGGAAGTTCGGTTTGGAAGGCGAGCGGCAAGACACGGGGGCGTTCGAGCGGCAAAGAATGAGAACTACAAGCAAAAAGCCCTCGAGCAGCAAGACACTACAGATACTACAGCAATCAGATCTAGTAAACCCAACAAAAACTGTTGCTTGATCTAGATCTGGCAAAATTATGCAAAATTCAGAAACCCAACAAAAATTGTTGATCTAGATCTGACAAAACTGTTACCTCCGCAGCTCTTGGCATAGATCTGCGGGGCTTCTAGAAAAGGAATGTGTGTTCTTTCTTCCGACTACTTTTTTGTGTTGCGTTTGGGGAATTCTTTGTTGGGTTTGCATGCTTTTTGTTGCCTTTTCTGGTTTTTCATTCCTGCGTTGGTCGTTGTGCTTTTTCCTGGCTTTTCCTTGCTGTCCATTGCTTCTTTGTGGTTGCTCAGTTGCTCCTGCTTTTTCTTGCGTGTACTGTTTTTTTTTTTGTGTGTGTGTCAACCCCTGTACCTAAGGGTTCCGATGTTTCCAAGCA